GTACCTAAGCAAAGTAATGAGTAATTATCCAGCTTTTTATCCAGTTGTTATGCTTATATCTCCAGGTTAAAAAACATGTTGTCATGAATGATAGCATGTATCAAGAACTGACTTTAAATATATTAAAGGATTACTGCATCGGCCCTAAGATGCATTATATGCACAAGAAGGTCAGAGTTTAATGTAGATATTTTCAATAGTCTAAAATACACAGTGAGGACACCAATCTCCCCAGTTTATTGCCTTTTTTATTTCTCTAAAATATTCATACAGTTATGCTGAAGATACTATGTTACATTTATTTTCAATACAGTTTTTTCTGTATTTCCCCTAAGATTATCCTTAAGAATCATTAGTTTGGTGATAGCACCAGTATTCCCTTAATTCAATTTTAACCACATTTTAATATATTTTGAGAACTTACTGTTTGAGATTTATGTAAGTTTTCAATTTTAAATGTTATAGATTAATAGTGCCTATAAAAACAATATATTTAGTTGTAATTTCTTAGTAAATAATTTCTATACTATATTTTTTGTAAGCTTAATCCACCTTATGGAAAAGTACTGTTCTTCAAAAACAAAATATAACCTGAAGTATTAAACCAGAACTGTCATCAACACAATAAATGCAGTCAGACTCTGTCCAAAGCTCACAATTACAGACTAAAGTGATCATCTTCTTTCCTCTGTAGCCCACTGCATGTTACAGTTTTGTTTATTGTTGTGAATCAGATGCAAAACAAAACAGGTTTAGGATTCTCACTGACAAACAGTTTGGTCCCAGCTTTCTGTGCTTCTTTAGTATCTCCTGACTACCTAGTCCTAGTTATTTTGGAGACCAACAGCTCAAAATCTCCAAACAGGATTATTATTACCCAAATTACAGGGTTTGGATTTTTTTTTTTTAAAGAGGCAAACAACATGAAGCCTTGAGCAACAAAAGATTGTGATCCTCATGTGAAAATTGTTCATTTGAGAATATCTAAGTGTAGACACTCTTGCATGGGGCAGAATTATTTCACTGATCCCAAACTGTCTGTAGAAACCCAGAATCAGTTTAAGACATATGTACTACCTAAGTTTCCACCTAGGTATTTTGCGATATACAAATGGAGTAATGAAGAAGAAGTGGATGTTCAGTCAGAAGAAAGGCAAGACCTCTGCAAGAACAGCTTCCTGGCTGTAAAAAATGAAAGGCATTTCTCGTTTGATAGAAGCCTTTCCAGTTCTCAGAATGTTTGCTTCCTACCGAAGGTTAATCCATCTTTGTTGTTGCTGTGTTTATATACAAACTTTTTGCTGAAGTCTCATTTCTGGTTGTTCTTCAGGATGCCCAAATGGGTCAAATCTGTTCTTGCTTCATGCCTCTAAAAGTAGACTAGAAACAAACTTGACCCTATGTTTTGAAAACCTAAAAGTGATTCCTCCTTCCTCACCATCTTATTCATTGCTGTGTCCTGTGATCTTCCTTTTTCATCTATTTTTTCACCATCATCCAGGTTAAGACTTTCATGCGATAGAAACTGATTCTAGAGCTGGAACAACTCGCCAGTACACTCCCTCTGATAGACTTGTGTGAAAAGGGCTGTCATTTAGTTAAGAATCCGGATGCCCCATTCCTCTTGAGGATGTTTAATTCACATGACTGTGTTTGATAAGGGAAAGTCAGTTCTCCTACAAAAGTAGTTTTTGAGTAGTTTTTAGCTCTTTTGTTGTCTTTACGCAGTCAACAAAGCAGCAAAGGTAAAGATGAAGGTTGACTAAAGCCAAGTTGCTCCCTTATATTTTACTAAATAAGATTGCCAAATCTAATAAAGCTAAATTGCATGTAAAGTGACCCTGACATATGAAATTACTAATGTGTGATTGTTATGAAGTGTTAAATTCAGATGCAAAGCTGTAGTTCATTACCTTTTATAATCAATTCCATTTCTTTCATTGACCCTAGATTTCAATGACTCTTTGGCTGAAAGATTGCACATATGACAAAACATAATGTATCAAAACAGAATAAAATAATTCAGAAAGAAATGTGATAAATAGGTGGGTATTTGTGGCAAAATGGTGGATTAGTCTCACCTCAGTGTACTTTTCATATCTGTGCAGGAAAAGTAGGTGAAATTCTTCCAGAGGAAAATCTATTGACTTGAGACAGTCCACATAATGAATGAATGTGTTGCAAAGATTAGAATTGGGAGGACATTTTAGGCCAATGTGCCTTTTTGGATGGCACCTTCTTCCACAGAAGTTAGCAGAAGATTTGTCTTTGACCTCAGAGCACGAATTGGCACTGAAATCCCTTTGCTACTTTTTCCAGACACATAAATGTTAACTTCTGTGTTCTGGCCAAACTCCAAAGTGGGCAATTACATTCTGCTGCTCAAATTTTTTGCTGCAGGTTTAACTAGATCTAGCATCACTTCCTGATGTGTAGCGTTACTGAAAACAATGAAGTCCCTTTTTGCAAGATTATTGTTAACTTTTTCCTCCTTGCCTCCTAATATGCCTGCTTTGCCTTACCAGTTGTAGCTTGTTTGAAGGTCAGAATTGTTTGGTTCTGGATCACAACTTTTACTGAATTGAGGGACCATGAATATGTGCAGTGCTATAATGATAACAATATCTTTATATCACTTTTACTCTCATATCCTGTAAATAGCAGAGCCTTGGGCTTTTCCCCAAGGACTCACACAGTTATAATTTTTTGTCAAATATCACATCATGCTGGTCTTGAAAACCACAAGTCAAAAATACAGCCCAAAATTACAGGGCATTCTGAGGGTGTTTAAAAACCAGTTGCAAATTTGCTTGTAAAATAACACATTGCTTAACTCTACATTGCATTAAATCAATAATTTATTACATGTTGAAGAAATTATTATTTCCATGGCCGTACAATCGAATAATTTTTTTAAGAAATTTGCACATCATTACTAGTAGAATTTGTTTAATTCATACTTAGTATTTATCTGAGACATTACTTTTACTCTTAGAAAAAACACTCACTATAAAAGTTAAGAAGCTCTGGTGTAACTGTTGACATCATTTTGGCTCTATAAAGCTGTAATGCCTGCTCTCTGGTTAGTTGCTTATTGAGTAACAGAAGCTAGTTAGAAATATCAGCACTGAAATCATTTGGTATAAGCACTTCTATCTAAAATAGAGGATGCAGTGCTCCTTCTCCCAGCATGGTCTTAAATAAAACAGCACTAAGTACAACCAGGTGGATTTACCCTTATGGAGAAGCCACACAGATTCTAGCTCTGGGGACATGTATTGATTGCTTAGTTCCAGCACCACAGGGTTAAGTGAAATGCTATCACAGTAATTTATTATTAAGAGAAATGGTGATGGCTTAGATTAAGAAGATTTTTCTGTCTCTTCTAATTAAGGTTAGGTTCTTAAGCAGCTTTACTATCCTTTGAAGCTACAGAGACTAAAATTAGGACTCTGGTTCTGTTTAAAATGTCACTAGGTTAGTCCATAATCCTGTAGTGATTGCAGCAAGGGATCATTCTTCCAATGTTGTCATTCCTTGTTTGGAAGCTAGTGATCCAAGACAAGACCCCATGAATCAAAGTCTGAGTAGTCTGTTAATCAGCAACAAGTTGGTCCTGCAGAACATCATAATGCTCTTGCAGTGACCCCTTGAAGACTGCATAATAAATGGGAAGCTGGTGAAGAAATCAGCTGTAAAACACAGTAAATTCTTTTGAAGGCAGAAAGCAAATGGTAGCAGTAAGTGGGCTGTGTACAGTTGGTGAAGAAATGGTTAGGAGGGAAGATCTGTTTTCATGTTGTAAGTGAAGCCATATCACAATGCTGTTTATAATCCTATACATGACAATATCATCCTAGGCTCAAGTGTCCTCACTTGGTGGTCTACAGACAATGTCAAAACCTCAAAGTGATAGATGGATCACTTCCAACTTTTCTCATTATGCCCCTGTTTATACAGCGTACAATGAATCTACGGAGCAAACTGTTACAGGATAGTAACAGCAAAAGTATAAATTAAGTTGAAAAATTTGTGGCAGATTTTAAGTTTGGATTCATTTTTCTTACAGATATGTAGACCTAGAGCAGGTCTGCCTAGATTAGTAAATTATGGAAATATAACACTGGTGAAATGGAAAAATCAGACCCATTAATGAAGAATAAAACTTCTTTGATAATATTTAGTATGATAAAACATTCAGAGGAAAAAAAGCCTTGATGCTTCAAATCTCAATTCAGTTTCTAGTAGGCTGGGATTAGGAAAATACTTTTCCAATAGCTAAGACATTAAATTATTATTCACTACAGGATGCCTTTCTCTAAATGATCTAGTGCTGCATTGCAGCTGAGACAAAACAGGATCTTTTAATCTGGTTTTAGTGAAACAAAGCAAGTTTATATGTATATTGGTATGGATGAACTGCAAGTTCTGAGTCTAGATATCTGACCAAGAAAATCTCTTGTCAATGAATTCTGTAAGAGTCTACAAGCTTTTACTGATCAATTTGCTGAGCATTGAATGAAACTCAATTGCTCTGTTGGACTGTGTTCATAAACCTTTTGTGTAGAGTGCATCTCTTTTGCTTTGCCATTCTTTTTCTCTTAGATTAACTCTGTCATGTTTTTATAGACAAAAGCATCCAACTAAGCAGCAAAATGAATGCCCTGCCATTCAGATAACCACTCACAAAGTCTGAACAGCACATGTTCATCAGGGATCTCCTGAGTAAAAACTATTTGCCCCACAGAATCTTGTGGTTGGTTTCAAATTATGACTAAAAGGGCTGAAAAAGATTACAGAAAGTCACTTAGTTCAGTCCTCTGCATTTACTCATACTCAGATTAAGATAGGGATGAATGACACCTACCTTTTGTTGACAAAGCAGCAGCACAAAATATTTCTTATTATGAGAGAACGGTACAGTTGCAATCAGTATGGTTTGCTTTGAGTAATTCAGCTTACTTTAGTGTTTCCAAAATCTGGTTTCTATTGCAGCAGGCATGAGCAGTTCCTGTGTGACACTGGCTGAGGTCCTGTGGGCAAAAGGAAGCCCTTTGGAGGAAGAAGAAATATGGGCGCTCTTGTACCTGGCCACAATGCAGCTTCTGGATGACCTTCACAAAGGTGAGGTGAAAAGTATCTTCTTCTAGTTCTTGCTGTTGGAAATTAATTCCTGCGTTATTTTAGCTCTTTGGAGCTTTTTTTTTATTTTTTAGACAAAAAGCCCTAATAGCAATAATAGGATATTGCTAACAGAAACAAGAAATCTTTCAGTGCTGCTGGGATTACATGCAGACTACTCTGCCTACATAAGAGACCTTCACACAGTTGTTTGTTTGGGGTTTTTTTCCAAATTACTCATCAAGTATTAATTCATCTAAGTACAATTATACTTAGTGGAATGGGACAGAAGGGTTCTTCCTAAAGTCTGAATAACATACACACACAGAAAGTGCATGCCAGCTAGGATCGTGTCCTTCAGATGCTGATAGAGGATAACAGGCCACATGGCTCCTCATTGAGCCAGTAAAATAGTTTTATGCTTGATGATAATAAAGTGACATCACAATGGCTAGGCAAGTCATCATGCTGAATACTTGTCAAGCAGGCCAGCTGTACAAGAGGGCACAGCTGAGCAACCTGTCACATTTAGAGAACCGTTTATGACAGTGGATATTCCTTTTGAGGGGAGAATGGATGAGGTGAGTTCTTACGTCATAAGCATGTGGAATCAAAATACAAACACTAAAAACAAGTGATGTGTAACTTCTGCTGTAGCTGGAGGGGTGAACTTTTATAACCAACTACATTTTAATAGACTGGAACACTGTAGGAGGTTGTCTATACCATCTCTATTATCCAGTGTAAAAAGAGGATAGAACAGCCTAGACAAGACAGGCACGAGGAATGTGCAAAGGAGTGCGGCACAGAGACACTCACCTGGATCAGTTCAGCTCAGGTCCACCACAGCTTATTAACTCAGTGCCAGACGCTAAGCGGACACTGTGATCTTCTGATCTCTTCTTTTTTTTTTTTTTTTTAAAAAAAGACTTGTTGGATGTCCATTGAATTGAGATAATCAGCCTATGTTCGCTATGCTGCACAAGATAAATTTAAGTTATTATAATCAGAAGATGAAGAGTAAAACAAGAGGAAGTAGGGATGTAGAACCAAGATGGTCTATAGGTCAACTGCAAGGCTACTCAAGCATGCCTTTAGGGAGCTCAAGTCCAGAAGTCATGCCAAGTTGGACTCATTCTGAAGCTGAATCCCCAGAGCTCCAGTTTCTTGGAGGGCAGCAAAGATGAACTGCCTTTGCATAGCATCATCCCAGTTGACTATGACATATCTCTGGCTCAACATCTCTTAATTACAGCTGTATTGCTTCTGGAATCAGCATCTTCTCAGGGCTACTACTGCCATGTTTGTGCTGCACTGTGCTTGAGGGATCCTGCTAGACCTGGTGATGGTCAGCACCACTTGCTATAGCAATATTTCCAGTGTGTTTGGGCACTGACTGGTTAGACAGGTACACTGACTCGTTGGCTAGCCAGCATTACAGAAGGACAGGTAATCTTCATAGAGGCTAAAGTACAAGCTGGCTATCTGTTTCTAATACAAATTTCCCAGCATGTGCTAATTGTATTTGCATACAATACTAGAGAAAATGGGGAAGGAGAAAAAGAGAAGGCTAGGTGATGATTTTAAGATCTTTAATTTTCTAAAGAAGCAAATGCCACAACTGTTGCAAATGCCAGTGGTCCATAAGTCTTGAATTTCTGGGTGCTCTAGCTGTATAAATCTCCTAGGTGTATATGAGTTGCCAGCTTAACATTTTACCCATATTTACCATCCATTTTCCTGATGTAAAAGTCACCATGCATAAGAACTAAGTAGCCATTTTTGAATATATAATTTTTAAATGCCAAAATACCAGCGCATTTAGGGCATGTTTCTGAGCTCTTCTCCTATGGAGATCTGAATGGTCTTTGTTTTCCTGGTCTAAACTGAAGAGATAGGTTCAACAGCCAACTTTTTGTTTTTTTTAATTAACTATATTTCCAGAAACACTATATCTAAATATTGCCATAGTTAATGCAGCTTTTCCTCTTTCTGAAGTAAACAGATTGATCTTATATGCTTTTTATCATACTTTTAAAATTAATATTATAATGAAATCTCTTGGATGTCTTTTGTCAAATTCACTGAATGTATGTATGCAAGTGCAGAGTGTTTGCAGAAGACCACACAACCGCATGTTTCCACTCCTGCTTCAGACCCCTGGAACCAACCTCAGTGGATCTCTGCAGGTATATTTTTTAAGAATACTCAGCCCTTTGCAAGGAGAATCCAGTCCATTACTGAGAAACCTTCAAATAGATTTTTTCAGGGAACAGCAAGGGCAAGCTGTTCCCTAAGGGACAGGGACCCCAGACACCAGCATGGTTACAACGGTGACAGTGGAGGGGCAATGCCAGCCAGGGCCCTATCCCACAGTACCCAAATAAGGTGAGCTGGGCGCATCTGGAGTTGACAACTGAGAATCCAGACCACCACACAAGTTTGTGGTGACAGCGCAGGTCCAAGGTCAAGCTGGGAAGCTGAGTCAGGGTCAGATCTGGTGTGGGCAATCAGGGTCAGACAGCCCAGCAACCACAAGGCAAGCCCACAGTGCCAAGGCAAGTCTGAGGTCAGGCTGGGACATCAATCTGTGGGTCAGGAACAGTGAGATCCACAGTCATGCAAGACGTGGCTGTGGCTGAGCTGGAGACAGGCACTCCTGCACCATATACCTCAGGCAGGGACTCAAGGTCCCAGGCTGAGCTTAACTGGAGCGTGGGACTATGGGAAGAGGATGGGGGTACGTCTCTAGTGAGGCTGGTCAGGGCCATTAAGGCCTATTAGTGTCCTCAGGACCTTGTCAGATTTAGAAGTGTACATTTATCATCTGAAAAGACTTTTGTTTTAAACATCCCCTCTCTTTTAACAGAACTGATGCACAGATAGAAAGACTGAATGTGAATAATGCTAAAATATTGTGGCTGTTCACCTTACCGGTCGAATCTAATCTAAGTTTAAGTTTGGATAGTTTTCATGTTTGCATTCTGGTAAAAATGATGAAATTCAGGTTAGTTGGAAATTGTGTTTTTCCACTCTAAGAAAAGTGTAGTAGGTTATAGCACTGGGGCTTGGGAATTTTGTTTCTACTGCTACCTCAGCTTCTGTTGGCTGACACAGTGTCGTCATCAAAGCCGGCCTCTGCATCAGTTTCTTCATCTGTACAATGGAAATAAAAAGGTACTGACTCCTGACACTGGCTTTCTGGCAAAGTAACTTGGCTTTGCAAAATACACTGAAAGAGAGGTTACTAAAATGCAGAGCTGACAGACTATAAACAGCACACAGAACAAAAAAATATCACCACAAAGAAGAGACTTCTACCATGGTCATGCAACTTAATGGAAGCTAACTTAAGATCTTTTGCAAATTCCAGCCTGAAAGTATTCATGCTTTATTGAAAGGAGTGTTCTACTCTTCTGATATTCTCTTGTGTTTTTGCATAAAAAAGTCTACAAAAAATCTCAAGATCTCCAGAATCTGCACATGGGATGTGATTCTGCCTTTCCTTAGGCTTCAGAAACCCAATGAAATCAATATATTGTTTATATGTGTGAAGTGATGTGAGAGAGAAATCAAGTCTTTAACCATCACTGAATTCCAGCTGATAAAATCAGCCAGGCATGAATGAGCAAGATTCCACTGACTTTTGGTTATGTCTCCAGGAAACTTCAGTGATGGGTTTGGTTATGCAGGTGAAGTGCCAGCAATATGATTTTCTGAGCATGGTGAATTCAACAGTAAGAATTCCATTATTTTCTTCAACATTTTTCAGACCCTGCCATCCATGTTATTTGTCCGTGGTCAGTACTATTGTCTGCTGAAGGAAATTTGTCCTTCCAAAACAATGCATCTCAGACAGAAGCTGTCCCTTTCAGTGCACCAGAATTGCTCCACGCTCAAAGTAAAAACCAGCGCATCAGGCTAACAAAGGTGAGATATATTACAAAATAAATCTTGACAGTACCTCATGAAGACAAACTTGTTTTTCATGCAGCATACCAGGCATCTACTGTCAAACTTCATTTCTAATAACACTAAACAAATTAGGCTACAGTTAGAAAGATTTACATGTATCTTGCAGCTTGCCATTAGATTAGCATGCATGTCAGCATCAAAATCAGTTTTGAAGATCAGTCCTCAAGGCCTGCAGAAATGTATAATTTGTAAACTCCCACAGAAAGGAGGCATATTTCTATGAACACTATGAGCATGCCCAGGAAGTGAGAACTATGTTCAGCTGTGTTAGCAATTTACTTTTCTTCTCCCTGCCAAATGAGTCTCTCTGGCAAGACAGGAAGATACAACACTCAGGTACATAAAAGTTTTAAATACCACTAGGACCACATCAGTGCATACTTCTCTCAGGCAGAACACAGTAGTTTCAGACTCCCACATAACTCTTCACTTAGACACTATGCAGAAACGTGAAGATTTGGAATAGATGGCCCTTACTCCAAGGAATCCTCTTCCTGGACACCACTGCTAGTTAGTCCCACAGGTAGAGGAGAGCTTTAATCACCAATGGAAGAGCTTCAAAACTAAGAAAGGAGTTCAAATTTCTGCTCCTAGTCATGGCATCATTGGATAGAGGGCAGCTTGGCTCAGACTTTAAAGCTCAACAATACTCATTGCATGCCGTCTAGTTCATAAGCCAAAAGTCTCTATTGTACTTTTATATATGTTTCCTCTAGTCTAGTTTTAAGAAAAATGATCTGTTTGGCTTCTTTCATTTTGTGACCAAAGGCAAAAAAAAATCGTCTCTCTAGTATGAGGCTTTCCTGTGTTTAATGTTGACTTCATAAAGGCTTTCCTTTTCTGTTTTGACAGATGTTGGTATATTCCTTAGGAATGACCCTCTATTGGTCAGCAGACTACCAGGTTCCTCCAAATCAGGCCAGTAACACAAACATTTTTGTTTTCTTTTATGCTGTCTTGTATTGGTAGGTTCAAAGATTGAGAGGCATAATCTGAAGTCTCAGTAAGAGGGGCTTTATGTTTTGGGCCACTAGAAAGAATTGGAAAGCTTGTGTCAAGGTCCAGACTTCACCAAAAACACCAGCTCATCCAAATCGGGAATTTAGTTAGACCTCATCTTTATTTTCCTTTTTTTTTTCCTTTTTCTTCAAAACCCAAAATTGTTCCCATTAAGATGAATTGTATCTTGCTTTTAAGAGTGAAGATTATTTATTCCAAGACTGTAATAAGGAATAGGCTGCCCAGTGAAGTGGTTGAGTCACTGTCCCTGGAGGTGTTTAAAAGACATGTAGATGCAGCACTTAGGAATATGGTCTAGTGGTGGACTTGGCAGTGTTAGGTTTACAGTTGGACTTGATCTTAAAGGTATTTTCCAACCTAAATGACTCTATGATTCTATGATTCTAAGATAGGAAGGGCTAGAAGAAAAACATCATGTTGGCATGGTAGTAGTGTTGTGCACATTTATGTGCTTTTTCAAATTGGATGCCAGAATAAAACTAAATAACTCTCCTTATATCTAAGCAAATTCTGCCAGCATCTCTGCTAGTTGAAATTTTACACTTCTTGCTTACCCAGAATCCTTTCAAAGATTTATAGCACACACTTTGCTTCATTTCCATATCCATGCCTTTGATTGAATGTTTTTGATTTGGAGACCACAAGATTTTAGCAGATTTAACCTCCCTTTCATGAGTATACATGGTCTAAAAGAAAAGGCTCTATAAGCTAAATTACTCTAAAATTTAAGTATCTGATCTCTATGGCAACAGTTTTGGCTGGTATAACTCCTCACCTTTTTGAAGCTAGTGCTGCCGCATGTCTTACTTGCACAAATTTTTAAGAATCACAGTCTAATTAGAAAGCCGTGGAGCAGACTGAGCTGTTGTCTGTCACCAAGAAGCCACTATACAGGCTGATGACCCTCCTAGGTGTAGATGCAAGTTCCCTCCAAGGCTATCCTGGATCCTATTAGAGGCTCCATTTAGTGCTGTTATGCTGCCTGTCTAGATTTTTCCCAAAGTCTTAAGGAATTCAGTGCCCATTTCTCACTCAGGGTGAAAGGCTTGAAGAAATTCTTGGTCCCAGTTTACACAGGATTTCAGACCACTGGGAGATGTCATTTAACAGTATGTCCATTTTGACTCAGTCCCTCCAGCTGAGTGACCAACTACACATGCTCTTGCTGACACTATGTGAAGATCTGCCACATAAAAGAATTTCTCCTGAATCAATTCTGGAAGCATGTGAGGCACATCAGAAGGAATCTGCTTCCTTACCAGCAAATATCTACATAAAGAAAATGGTCCAGTTTGCTGTGGGAAGTGCCAGTGAGGTAGGTACTACTCATACTCTAATCATCTCCTTTTCTTTGGTGAGAGAGGTGAGCAGCAACGTGGGATACAGGTGAGCAATTGCGTGAAATCAATGCTTGTATGAATTAGGGAAGTGAGATTTGGTTCTAGAATTCTAAGCAGGAAACTGAGTGGGCATGTGTGCAAGCAAATGAGGCAATGAAGCCATCTCTCACACCACTCTTACACTCCTGGGAAACTATACAAATCCAGCTTTTACGCTTACAGTATCTTCAACTCTTTGGTTAATACTGAAGCAATCATAACCTTTAGAGAGACTTCATATTGGCCAAAGGAATGGACTTTACACAAGAGAAAATTTTTCCCCATCGCCACTCTGGTTTCATAATTTCTTTGTGAAATTCAAAGAAATCACATTTACATCATACTGAGAATTTAATTCATTGTCCTTGAGTTGAGCTGAACATTTGCTGTGCAATCAAGCCTGACCATGTGAAGTCTTTAAGAAGTGAGCACCTGAGTCTTTTTGAAGATTTGGAATATCAACAAACATTTTATGTTGACAAGCTGAATGAAAGTGGAAAAAACCACACTGCAAATGTGTTTTTTTCTATTTTCAACCAGTATTCACGAACATTCTGAGATGACCTTTTCCCTTGCACTCTCTGTTACTCTATTTCCCACTGTAACAGAGGGTGTCTCTTCTCAAACACAGCTAGCATGAGAGCATGAAGCCATCAAAACTCAGTCCTACTTTGTGTTAATCTGAGAAGATGAAGTTGCTTATACCAAGCAAATCAGCAGCCTCTGACAAGCAGAGGGCGAGGATCACTCCAGTAAGAGAGTCTGAAGTCCACATATTGTATGACATTGACTTGCAGTACTGCTGTCTTCTAGGTAGAGCGGGTAGTCACTGAAGACAGCACAGCCTCTCAGCTTAGCAGAAGTCATGTGATAAGGAAACGACTGCATGAGAAAATATCGGACACCTCGCTACTGTCCTCCCAGATGAATTTTCACCAAGGTAAAGAAAGGTGCATAATCTGAACTGTCTAATAAGGAGACAACCAGTCTTTTCTGAGTCTTTCCCAAGCTAGGTGAATTCTTTAATTTCATGCTGTAGTGATTACATGTAGTGCTGGATAGGATTTTTATTGCTTTACATATAAATAACTTCATAATGGGAAGACTCTGAGGCAAGTCAGCAAGGTTTCTGTTCCTTATTTCCTGAAAGGACAGTAGTCTGAAGTCTGGCTGTGAAGCAATGGCAACAAATCAGCTTGCACAGATTTGGCTCTTAAAGCACTTTGCATAAAACCTGGGCATATAAAAAAGTATTTTCAGAATTGCTTTTGTGCTTTGTATACTCCAGTGTATTTTTGAAGGTAAAGAGTGGGATTCTGTGAAGTTATCCTGTTGCCGTACAGGAATATATATTCATCCTTCCAATTTGATTACTCAAGCAAAGAGTTGTGGCTTCTTTTTTATTTTAGTTCCTTTTATTCTATTCAAAATATGTTTTATAAATTCACACATGGATTGCTGGACTGATTTCAAGACACAAGGCCAAATCCTGCTCACTATGTAAATAAAACAGCAGCATATACTAATTTCACCTGTCATTTGACTAAGATCGATATTTTATTGTCCCTCAGAGTAATTCTCTAACTGTAACTAAATGCAGACTTCAGATTCAGATAGTTCTTTTTCTAGTCTCTCTATTGTACTGTCCACTTTAAGAGAAATCTCTGATTTTGGGGCAGGGGAAGGTTGGCCCAAGCTATGTAAGCTTTTTTTGTATGTGCTTAACAGTAGGCACGTGAAGAAACCAATTCCTATTCAGCATATCACATATATGTTCCATTAACTTCAGCTAGAATTAAACATGTGCTTAAATACCTCTGGAACATTTCTATTATGTATTATTGGTCATAAGAAAAGGAGATTCTTTTGAAACACATAGACAAACCACCACTCAAATCATAATGGCTCGCTCACTCATTCAGAAACTGAGCTTATAGATTCACCCTTGCCTAGGCTGGTGAAAACTCTGCTGCTACCAAAAGGAGTGGTCCCATCTTCAATCTTCTATTAGCCACAAATACCTGCCATTTTCCTTCAACTGGTTCTAGTGATTATATATCTGGGATGATCTCTCTGTTTTCTAGGAATTCAAGTCACATGGTTTACACTTGCTGAAGGACTTCAGTGAATCAGGATGTCAATTACATTGACAATGTGTGAGCTACACTTTTCAAGGCAGCATTCCATTTATTTCTTTTTTTTTTAATTAATAACCATCACCTTCAGAGATTCTGGAAAAGGACAAGAGACAATGCAACCAAATTAAAGTTAGGGTGCAACAGAAATATGTGCTTCCTTATGACTTAGGATGATCCCTTAATGGAATTTCTGCAACCGACTCTGGTGGTGGATTGTGTCTGGTCATTGTCCATCCTGCACGCAGAAAGAATACTTTATAACTGAAGGTTTTGGGCCTCAGAATAGAAGGAAAGAGAACTTTGCAGGTTATCTGCACTTTGCAACCTTTCAGTTAAACATGCAGAACAGAATTAATATATGAGATTTGTTTTATTTGGAATGGTTGAGGAGAACTATGAGAACTATTTTGGGTCAGGATATGATAATGAAAGTAATAGAATCAAGTTACCAAGCTTTCCTTGGTCCTTAGAGAGTTGAAGTCAGGGTTAGAAGACAGACAGGCATGGACTATATAAAAACAAGTCAAGCCAAATGTTATTTATGTTATCATGCAGATACAATGACTTATAATTAAAGTATGTGATTCACCATATTTCCTTTCTTTTTCCAGAAAAAGGGTCCAGATTAATGAATTATAGTCGGTCAACAGAAGATTACAGACAACTCTCTGTGGACTACAGTGACTCTAATAGTATTTCTGAAAATACATCTGTGATACTGTCTAACCGAGGACACAGGAAAGGTAAGATTTTCCTGAAAGATTATGTTTATGAATTATGTACTCATCTCTTTTGTCCCCTGAAAAGTGAGACTACCCATGTATGGTCAGGTGATAGGTACTGCAATGCACTTGTGGTTACGTGACTGGGGAAGTGTATTTGTGCTAAGCTGCAGAGAAGAAAGATCCTTTTATCCTGGATTCCTTTTTACTTCTGTCCTACTGTAAAGCTATATATTCCCTGGTTACCATGCAGCACCATCACCGCTTTCTTGCTTTATGCCCCCTTTGCCAGGTGAAGCTGTTCAACAGATCACAGACAAGACCTGACAGCATGTTTCTGGCATATGGGGTCTAGAAACAGATGACAAATGGTGGAGCTATCACACAATGCAAATGATGAATATATGAATAATACCTAAGACTTGGATGTGCGGATTAATGTTTCTTCAAGCCCATTCAAAAACAAAGGAACTAATTCTGAAATCTGGAGGAAAAAATCAGCCAAACAACCCCTTGTTTTCTTTTCATTGTTCTCCTAAAGCCATTGTGTATTTTCTGCTTAGTGTGTTGTTTTTGTTGTGCTAAACGCCGAGTTGCAATGCTGCTCTCCTGATTTACTTTGTCCAGAGATATCAGAGTCAGAATTTAGCTCCACTTTCAATCCTTCTATGGCAAGAACAGCATGAAAGAAACTGTCCAGGAGGGGATCCATTCCATGAAGACACTGTGGTAGACATCAGTCAGGGTCTTTCCCAAGCCCCTTAAAATATATTGTAGGGGAATACTATGAAGCAAAGAAGGGAATTCATCAGGAAGGGGAGTATTACTGTGCATGTTTACATTGGAATCTGAGCTAGGGATGCCTAGACAGGACGTTCACACTGCCCAAGAGGAGAAAGTTCCTGTTGCCAAATGTCATCAGCGACTCCTAAAAAACCAAGCTTACTATGCCAACTCCCCATTGTCAGACTCCTGCCCATTTCTATCCTGCATTCCAAAGTTACCCACCCTCCCATCTGCTTTCAGCCTTTTTTCCATCCTGCCTGGGGCACTTCTCCTGAGCTTCCAGACCCAGAGGTAGAAGTTTACTTCTGTACTTCAGAGTTTACTTCCTCTCTCTATGAGTCTCCATGAGAAATTAAGTACTAGGTCCTCTTGCGGCATGGACTCACATGTGCTCTGTAAGCATGTGTGGGCTTTTTATCCCAGAAAATTCTTTCCTAAGGCAATAACCCTAGCATCCACGACATCAGTTACGATGCAAGAAGGTATGCACACTGATTGGTTAGTTCATTAATGCCATAAATAACAGAAAACTGCTGAGTAGTCCTTGCTTTTTCTCACTGGGGAGCATTTAGGTTTGTGATATAAAGCTGCTGTTTGTCATGAAATTTGTAGAAACATACTACCCACACTCTTGCAAATTTGGAAGGTTAAAAATTTACTAGGCAAAAATGGAAGGCATAAAGCATGCTCTCCAGGGACTAATTTGCCTAAGAAAGATGGCAAGAAAACTGGGCACACACCACATTATCACAAGTCTGCCAGGAGATAATTCAGGGAGAGAATACATCCTGAGAAAAAACCCCCATGTAATAGACTCTCAGCCCCAAGGATGAGGAAGGTGAGGTTACTCATACAATTACTGTTGATGCTCTCCTTCTGAAAAGCGCTGCTTTTCTGAAGCTCCAGAATTGCGGTCAATATCAGCAGCAATAAAAACCTGAGATTGCAGCTGCTCCCTATGTGATGCATACGTGTCAGTCACATACCTAGTGACATATAGTGAAAGTAAACTCAGGAGCCTGTTTTGTAAGTCCTTTTTTGAAAAATTTTGGTCATAAACTTGAAAAAGGCTCATTCTGGTGAATTTGTGTGTGTCTCAGTCTCCACTGAAATATTAGTGGCTGTTCGTACTCAGGATTTTGTAAGACAAAACTCTAAAAATACAGGAGAAAACAGAATGTGAGAGCTTGTTTGCTGCAGACATTCTTTCATGAGATAATGTATTATAGAAATGAATTCTTCTCTGAAAAGAAATATTGCCATCTAGTAGAGCACCATTATCAAGGGAGATCAGTATCTCTATCCATACTGTACTTTAGAAGATCATTTAACATATAATAAATTAATCATCTACAGCATCAACTTCTTTGAGGGCCACATGTTACTTAAACATCAGGAATGTGTTGGATTTGTGATCAAAGAACGGCAGTCTGGCTACTGAAACTAGCCAACTTGTCCCACTGCCGTAGCAGCTGAGACAGAAAAACTAAGGGGATTTTTATGTGCTTGTCAAAGTATATTTATATAATTCTGTGAAATCTATAGTGTAAGCAGAGAATATTGCAAAGCTTTCTCATTAAAAAGATTGCAGTTTCAGAACACAGGACTGAATCTTAGCTTTGATAACTAGCTTTGAGTATTTGGCTTATCTCAAATATCACATTTTGTTACTACCATCTGCAGCTTGAAAAAACGTGTTTATACGCATTTTAGCAATGGAACTGTAGATTTTTTAGTTTTTAAAATTGCAGTTGGTGGTTGGTACACTAGAATTCAATGTCATGTTTTCATGTTGGAATTCAGAGTGAAGTCGCAGAGTGTAGTTCATGGATATTTTATCCAGAGAAAAAGCTGACCTACATGATTGCTTCCACACTGCTCATCTTATCACCTCTATCATTCTGCCTATGTAGTAGTTTGATATGCGATTCTTCAAATAAGATCAATGAAATGATGCAAATGAAGAAAAATTTAACCTTCCCATCCTTCCCTAAAGTTTTTAAAACATCTCTGCTGCTAGAAGAAATGTTCATGGAACTACCACTTGCATAAACCATTCTGGGTCTGCCTCTACATTTCAACCTTCAGATATTTGGACAAACCAATGCCTATCCTTTCTGTAGCAGCAGAGATGACTGAAAGTGAAAAATTGCACAAATCTTATTTGCTAAGGACTCACAAACCATCCTATATTCCCACCAGATTTTTATGATATGAAAGTATTCACGATATATTTAATGTATCAAATAACCAGTGGAATATTTACAAATAATTTTAATTTCAGTGATTGTATATCCTACTCTAAGACAGAGAAGTTTCACAGCTTCCCCGCCCCACCAATTTTATGCTTAGAAATAGGACAACGAAAAATACAAGGGGTAATTTCTGAAGATCAAAAGCTGTTTCACAAATTACTCGTATACATACGGAAATAACAGCAATTTTACCTACACAGCTATTTCCCAGATTACATTCCCATGAAGGGTTATGAAGAGGAAATAACAATAACTGCAGAACTGGGAATACTGCTCAGTGTAGTATTCAATTAGCCTTATTAAATAGCCATTTATCATGCCCAAGCAACGACACAATAGAGGAGGCAGCCAGTCTAAATTTCCTCCTTGTTGTAATTGTCCCAAGATCTGATGCTGAGTGCTGCTACAATTGCTTCAATTGTGAAACTTCCTTTATTCATTTCAGGGAGAGTTCCACAGACACACAGGTCATGGGACCCCACTCTTAGTGGGTCAAGGACACAAAGTAGCTACAAGCTCTTCATAAACAGGTAATCAAAACTTATATTCCTAAAAGATGGAAGCTGTTTATTACCAAGTGAAGCAGACAACTAGAATGGCAATGTAATTATCAGGAAATGCCTGGATCGCCATCTGACCTTGTTTTGATAATAGATATTATTTATGTAGATTTAAAGTGCACCTAGACTCAGCTTGGCTCCAAGGGAAACAATCCAAATGCTCTAGTGAAATGGAGCTTGGGCCCTGAACAATCCATACAAAACAAGCACATTGAAGTTTTACATCTTTGCTCTTTACCATTGTGTCCTGACAGACGTGACTGGCCTCCCAGAGCAGCTGCCTTTAGGGTGTCCCAATCAGAATCAGACAGGTAAGCAGCAATAGCTCACTGTGACTGAAACTGGGAAGCAGCTCCACAGAGAGTATGAAAGGGAAAAACCTGTTGAGGAGGTATGAACCATCATTGCTTTCACTGGCAAGGCATTCTGGAGTCTGTATTTGTCTACATTCAGATTTTGGATCTGGTCTTGCCTTGGTGTCTCATTAGCAGAGGGCTGATGTGTTCTGGAGTGGTTATGAGAGACCGTGTATATGATCCATCATTCTCAGTGGATTATTTGCATTTCCATCTCAATTCTGAGATTGATATGTCTCACTTGTGTCCACCACATCCACCGCTGTGCTGCCACGTTACTGAAGAGTATCCCTAGGTAACCCAGGGACAGAAGCAGTAAAGACCTCTGCTCTGTCATGAGGATTAGCCTCATTTCAGCCACGGCAAATACAGCAGTCCTGTACATAGACAAGAAAAGCTGAGAATTGTACAACTGATACTAACTCATTTTCAAAAGCCAGAGAAACATGTGACTGCTGCCGAATAAGAGTTCTCTAGAATGAGTGTTAGCATAGTGCAGCTGTATTCACGGCTGTTTCCAAATGAAGAAGAGATGTAAATACTGTTAGCCTCAAGGCACCACAAGACCAGAATCCCATAGTTAAGCACCGTGTAATCTCTACAGACATCCCATTTAAATTAAGTTCTTGACCCCATTAAACAGGAGTTTCTTCTTTTAACCATGACAGGAGTAATTCAGGCCCACAGGAAATGCTCCATTTAGATCAACTCCCAATTAAATGTATCCTAAGTAAACAGTTTGAACTTTCTGATAAATCACAATAATCTGAGTGATGTGAGATACCCCAGTACACCTCTAAACCTGCAGTAAGAAAGAACTACAAGAAGGCTGCAGGACAGTGGCAGCTTTTGTGAACAAAATCTCTGTCTACCTGTCATACTACTACACACACATACTTATATATGTGCGTGTACAGATATCTATACATGCATCACACACCTGGCAATGATATCAGTCACAGAAGATTTATTTACTGAGTATTTTGGAGCAATTGCCATGCCTCTGACTGCAAACCTGAGTATCATCTTGGTATCCTTGATCTAAAACCATATTGCCAATAAAATGTTCCCCTCCTCTGCTGAAAGATAAATTCTCTTCTTTGAATTTTCAACAAGCTGTTTCCCATAGAACTTCAGGGACTGTAAACTCCACTTTTAGTTTTAAGCATCTGCAATTACATTTCTACCAAGGTCACCATCCTATTGTAAGTACCATGACAACAGTGGAGTTGAAATAATTAGTTTGGAAGCCATTGATTTCCCATACAGCAGGACAACCAACAAAAAACTTAGTGATGGGCTTACTGTCTATAAAGCTCACTAATATCATCTTCCTTACTTCTGTAAGCAGTCCAGCAGACATAATGTACAACTCATAAAGTTAAGCTTGTAAGTATATGCAGGGCTCTAGCCCATATATAAAGAAGACACAGCAGTCAAATCTGGCATCTCTCACTATGCAGGACTAATAACAGAAAGTGTTTTCCACAGGAAAAGAAAGTCTTCTTAATACAACATCTTGGGTTTTGAGCTAATAGTATTTTTATACCCACAGAAGTCACTTCAGGTAATTTTTAGGCATATTTCTTAGTTAAATGTTGATCTTTATGAGGTTACACTGATAGAAACAAAAATATCTAGTTATATTTATAGACAGAGGAATGCAAACCAGGACAGGATAGGACAGAATAGAATAGAATAGAATAGAATAGAATAGAATAGAATAGAATAGAATAGTTTGGTTGGAAGAGACCTACAACAATCATCTAGTCTAACTGCCTGACTACTTCAGGGCTGACGAAAAGTTAAAGCATATTATTAAAGGGCATTGTCCAAATGCCTCTTAAACACTGACAGACTTGGGGCATTAATCACCTCTCTAGGAAGCCTGTTTCAGTGTTTGGACAGTCTCTCAGCAAAGAAATGCTTCCTAGCGTCAAGTCTGAACCTCCTCTGATGCGGCTTTGAACCATTCCCATGTGTCCTGTCACTGGATACCAGGGAGAAGAGATCAACGTATTCTCCAGTAACTTTCTTAAAAACCTTGTGAAACTCCCTGAATATTCCCTGAAGCAACTCTACAATATACAAAAGAAAAGGATAAAACTTTGGGATAACAAAAAAGCTTCTGTGTGACTTTGGCATTTGTTAAAAATGTAATTAACAAAAATCCACCTCAACAAAACATTTCTTTCTCTACTAAATAATCATTCTTTCCTCATTGATAAGACTATATACTATATTTTAAATTTATTCTAAACATACGTGTGTCTGCTAATGTGGAAAACACCATTCCTTTATGGGTTAAAATTATAGTATAATGACAGATTTCTAATCTGAGATTTCGCACATCTTTCTCTTAATTGAATTGAAAATTCCCTCAGTTCCCTAAGACATTAATTTATTCTAATGAATTAGTACAATTAGTATTCAAATAATTTCATTCCCATTCCTTGAAAATTCTGAATAAGGTAACAACAAATGTTATGGTTTTTTGAAGCTTTTTTGCTTCAGAAAATGAGAAACAAGGAATTGACTTCATTCTGTAGAATTGCCAGAAAGGCATGTGCTAAATTGTTTGCCCATTGGCTTCACCAGACTTAAAGCAGCTAGATCTGTCTCACTAAATGAAAAAAAAAAGAGACTGCTATTGAATTAAAGCAGAGTTTAGATTTATTTATAAAGGGCATCAGTAGTATTATCGCTGTTAAATTATTTTTCTTTTTCTGTAAAGAAACATTTAACAACTTATAACTGACATTGCCCTGGATTTCATAATATTCTGCCAGTCAATGTACTTTAAGCTCTTTGCCCTCAAGTCTGTGTTGTTTTGATTGCATGCTATGTGTATTGCTCACTATGACATTCCCTTTGTAGGTCAGTCAGCGCTGTAGAAGAAATCCCTGGTGGAACTCAGAAGAACAGCAGACAGAACCTGCTAAATTTAGGTTCCACCTTCTCTGTGTCTACAAAGGACTACACAGCAGCTGCTGCATCACAGAAATGTTTGTTCCACAGGAAGGAAAAGGTGACTAATGAAAAGCGTATAAGCTGATTTCAAAATGTAAATATCATTGAAGGGAAGCCTCTCATCTGGTTGTCATTCACCAGTGACGTGCATATTAGCTACTGAATCATCTCATTAGATGAGTATTTTAAATTGACAGACTCCAAATTAGGCATGATCCAGTTAGGATGCTCAGAACTGAAGGTAGTGAAAGCTCTTGTCCGTAAGGACTAAGCAAAAGCTTATAATCAAACTCTCTCTGACCTACAAGTGTGATTTCTGCAAGCATCAAACACTGCATGGACTGTTTTCGTCAACCAATTTGAGAGGAGCTTCAGAACAGCAAAAACACTTATGAAGACACCGAACCCAAACATTTGCTGGTCAACAGTGCTCAAAGGAGTTAAATGTTTTTTACAGTGTATGCCTGGACAAAAAGCATAGGCTAGCAGTGACTGTGCCAAACCAATAGTTCACCTAAGGGTCTATTTCTAGTTACTGATTTGTTGTAGGGCTTTATTAAATGGAAAGGGTAATGTTTCTTTGGCAGACAGATCACAAAAATCCAGAAATAACTGGATTACAGAACACTCCATAATGCTGCTGCCCATGGAGCTTTCTGTAGTGGAAATAGAAGGGACAGGTTTCAGGCTGGTGAGTCCTTTCGCCTATTCCCAGTTCACAAGCTCAAGACTAACTGGTGGCACAACTTTGATCAAGAGTTTCAGTTAAATACTTAGGAAAATTATCTTTTTATATATAAATTTAGTTTTAAATTTTGTTAATGTGATTTTTGCTGGGGTAATAATTGAGTTCCTCAGGCAGAGTCCATCAACTGTTACAAAAAAGTACTAGTCCCTCTTTATATGTGACACAAAACTGCATTGTCTGTTGGCAGGACAATATTAGTATTATGAAACAAACCATGAATTTTTTCAAAAAAATATCTAAATGGGTCAAGGTACCAAGTCATGGAGAATGGTTGGAAGGATCCACATCTTACCACTTGCAGACATTTAGTTATTTCTGTCTGCTTCAAGAATCTAAAAGCATAGATGAATCTGGGAAAAAAGCGATATGCAAAATTCCTTGAGGTGGATGTTCAGCAAGAAAAAAAGCATCTTGTGCTGTTGAAGTTTGTTGAAGTTAAAGCAAAAGAATACCATGTCTGATAATAAGAAATATCGTTCAACCTTTATTACAGGGAAGAAAGCAGCTCTGAATTTTAGTCTGGTTCGCTATGGAAGCTAGGCTTATGAAATCACAATGGTGTGTGTGTATGTATGTGTGTACATGTCTGTGACTGTCCTCATAGTAGCTTAGGAATCAAATGAGAAGAGGTCTCAGAATAAATGAAGTTTCTGTAAGCTTAATGAAAATAGGTGCCTTGCAAAGGAAATGGATCTTGGTTAAGTGCCGTTACAGAAGAAAAGGCTTCAGCATGAGCTTGCCCCTAATTAGACCTCAGAGAGTCCAGACAGGAAAGACCCCAAACAGTGAGAAGTCTCCAATCAGCATTTGCATGTTATTAGACACTGAAGTCAATTAGCTACAGCATACAGATCAACAGAAATAGGTTTAATTGGTAGTAGTGTTTGGGATCTTCATTACGTTGAGGAGATATTTATTAAATATCTAAATTGCCTCCTTACAGTTTTCAGGTCCTGAATTTATTATTTTGTCTAGTGAACCACCGGTGACCTTACAGCTGCCTGGATCAATTGTGGTAAGTATGAACTTTAAGAATTTAGAACTAATCTAGTGAAGTTTTATTTGGGGCTCTTTGTAAGTTGCATCTGAATCCCAAACAAGTATTCTTGCCATGTCCTCCTCCCAAATCAAATTAGGGTTCCTGCAGAGGTATTGAGACTTGAAAGAAGGTCATTTAACTCTCAGTGCTATGTAGTTATTTCTGTTGGTGCAAAAATAGCTTAATTTATCCTTCTCGGCTAAGAAAGCTCACTTTAGCACAGGACATTTGAGACGAAGATTATGCAGCAAATATGCAGTGTGACAGCTAATGCTAATAACACATTGGACTCCTCCAGATTGCAGGCACATCCTCTGCCTTTCATTAAGACAAGGTAAAAGGCTGACAGCATACAGCAGTAAAAATGAGGGAAAGAAAATTTGGAATTACTCTCAAATGCAGAATAACCCTGGAGATTGTAGAGTCTGAGTATGTTCAACTGTATTGTTGGGATACCCTGGGTTTTTTAAAATTATAAATGTTTGAGATATTCATTTATGAGAAGGGAGGAAGGGAATAGCATTGTGTTGTGACCAATTCCACCAGGTTATGTAGAGACAGTAGACTAGGGGGCCTCACTAGTAAAATGCTGTGGAACTTGCATTGCTTGTGCTTGGCACTCATTCTTCGTTCTTTGTTACATGTTCTTAGACTAAAAAAGGGAAATCCTATTTGTCCCAAAGGGATCTCAATGTGATTCTGCTCAATGGGCAGTGCCTTGAGGTGCAATGTGACATCAAGTCCAAGGCAAGAGATGTTTTCAACACTGTGGTGGCATATGCAAACTTGGTGGAACATTTCTACTTTGGCTTGGCTTACCTGAAAGGTAATCAGACACAGCTAACAGCTCTCTCCCTCAGTGCCTCTGTAGTCACTTTATTAATGAATTCCAGTAAGATCCTCAGATGAAAGCAGATCCAAAGCTTAAGCAAAAGGAAGGTACGTTGGTTTAAACTATACTGCACTGATGTAAAGCATGTCTCCCCTAGGACCGTGCATCAGCACAGCCATACTCTTACTGGCTGATATTCCCATGCAAAAAATGCTGTGTCTCAGGCTTGCACTGGAAAGTAGCCATGTAGCTCCAGCAGAAATTCCAGGAAGAACTGTACTGAGGAAGGCTGGCTGTCTTTGTTACTAGCTATAAGTTGGAGTACAGGTTCAGCTGTTTTATATACAAGACCCGTATCTCCCTAGCCCATTTCTGATGGCAAGCATGAATGAGGCACTAGGAAAAAACATACCTTGTTTGTAGGGCATGAGGATTACAATGGTGTATTCTTGCATTCTGAATGGTGAGCAGAATGCAAGTCCCATCAATTCCTGAGCGATTCCATAGACACCACACCAATCCAGCATTTAACAATTGTAATCCCAAATTACACACTGTTACCCAGAGTTCTTCATCAAAGAAGCAGTGAGTTAAGCCGTGAAACAGAGAAGTAAATCTCAATTGACATCCATGATCCATTTTACTTTTTGTTGCTAGCGATGCACTGAATGAAGACAGGAGAACTTTCAGCTACTGAAGTATCTCCAGCCTTACCACAGACCCCCAAATTCTCATTTCAGGCAAAGAATTTTTCTTTTTGGATGAGGAGACCAAACTCTACAAAGTGGCCCCAGATGGCTGGAATGACCAACCCAAGAAGAAAACTTCCATCATTAATTTCACACTCTTTCTAAGGATAAAATTCTTTGTCAACAACTTTAATGTTATCCAGTAAGTGTGTGGTTCTGCTGACTGCAGGAAAAACAGTAGTATTTAGGGTGACTATTGAAAGCTCCTCCTGTGTTTCTAAACCCTTTTGTGTTCCAGGCACGGCTTGACAAGGCATCAGTTTTACCTGCAGCTTCGTAAAGATGTTTTGGAGGAGCGATTATATTGCAATGATGAGACTGCCCTGAAACTTGGCGCTTTGGCTTTACAGGCAGAGCTTGGCAATTATGCTTCTGAGGTGTGGACAAATAATACAATATTTCTCAGAGGTCTCTCTCAACAGCTTTTGCAGCTTTTGTTTGTCACATAAAGTTTAAAGAAGAAATGTGAATGGCACGTAATTTCAGCTAAGTCCTTCAGTAATCACATTTTGGATTTAATTTAAAAAATTACAGAATTTGTCTGATTAAGGAGCAGTAATGAGCAAGACAAATTTGGCAGGAAATATGGCAGAATGATGAAAGACTTTTGGTCATTCATAATTGATAACATAGCCCAGAAACCCCAGAAAATCTGGGGAAAATTTCCAACATAGGCACAGCTTAGATGTGCAGAGGGGCTTAAAGAGATCAGAAAACATGGAAGAGAAAAATAAACACTCCAGAATTCACAGCTATTTTTTCTGTAAGCTCAGATCCACAAGCTGCAACGATAGGAAGGTTGCTGATGATATATCTGAACTAGTTATCCTTGGTTTCAAGTGTTCAGAAAATACCCGTTCTCTGTCCTATCTTCAGTTACATAAATCAGTGTAGCTCTGTTATTTGAACTCTGAGTGGTCTGATGCATCTGGTCGGATCCATCCCAGCAGTGGGTCCCCCACTGTAAGATGCACTGGTACAGCTGTAGCTGTCAGTTCCAAGCACAGGACTGCAGGCATGCCTGCCGGCCCAGCTCTGCACACAGCAGTCATGTGTGCTTTGAGCACCTGGCTAAGCACAGGTGCAAGAGGCACATTTGGCTGTCAGGACACTACCTGCTGCTTCCCATCTTTTAGGAAATGGCAACAGGGTGACTTCAGCATACGGGTTACCCTGAAAATGGAAATGCACCAAGTAAGAAAAGTCAAGAAAGAACAAAGAGCTCCTCTCTTATTTTTCCTTTTTTTTTTTTTCTCCCAAAGATGCATGGAAAGAGCTATTTTCGTGTTGAAGACTACATTCCAGCAAGCCGAATAGAGAAAATGACCCTGGCATATGTACAGCAAGAGCTTGCTAAATTACATCGTATGAATCGTTCCCTATTTGAGGATGAAGCTGAACTAGAATTTTTAAAGGTATGTTGCCATACCCCAAATATTATCTATTTATTTTGAGATAGAAAGCCCCTCTCTATTTACCAGTGTCTATTATTTCCTTCTTGCCTGATACAGTGGATTTTAGATACGGTGAACAAAATTGGATAGTCAACAAAAAACTCAGAATTTCATTCTGCTGTAGATACTGTCACTCTAAATAACTTGCATCACATTTACATGGTAGGGTTCTTTTCACTGGTAGTTTATAAAGGGTTAATGCACATTTCAGGGTATTTTCAGCATGATACTGACATGTCTGAGTTCCAGAAGATTGTAAATATACCCATTGAATGTATTAGAGATGATTATAAAACATGGGAATAAGCACTTTCTTGACTTCTGAAACTACAGCAGCTGTTCAGCCACTTTCTAACGTGTAATGATTATTTGTGAACATCTGTGAACCCCAGAAGTGAGGAAGGAATTATATGAAGTATTTTCTCACATGGCTATTTCTCTAGGGCTCTAGAGTGTCACAACAATGTGGGATTTAATTCCCCCCCCAATTTCTCCTTCTCCCCCAAACTTTTGACCAAATGAAAAGTATCAGGGATTAAATAATGGATAAATATCAGTAGCCATTTTGCTGTGGTGCCTCACGCTTTTATTTATAGCATAATTTTAGTTCAGTTGCTCTTTAATTATGTTAGTTTCTCACCTAACACTGTCAGTGGAATTGAAGAAATAGATTGAAGCTTATCCATAATGACAGTCCCATCATGCATGGCAAATCCAATGAAGAAAAGCAGCTTTTTTAGTATCTGTTTCAAGGAATAAGTCTGTAGAAAGAGCCAACACATCATACAAAGAAAGAGAGATAGCCCCCATGCCAAGAACATGGAAATTCCAAATATGAAAGGGATTACAAATTAAAATCCCGATTCAGCTAGTGATTATAGATGCCCCAGTTTTCAGGACCTGAACATTTGCACTCTGGATACTTTCCAAAAAACAGATCTTCTTTAAGTGTTTTATTTTGGTCACTGAAAATCTCTATTCACAGCTGAAAAATCATTTGGGGATTCTACATTACCTTCCCAGAAAAAATACGTTTTAGAATAAACTCGTATTGATTTGCAGATCACAAAAGAGGACAGAAAACCTTCCTCATATTCCATAGTTCTGTAAAGGATCTGGGTCACCTTTCAACAGTTTGTGGCCAAGTGCAGGAGGTAGAAGGACAAGCAACAACACCCAGAACCTCTGGGCGAGTTCCTCAGAGTATCCTCTGCACAGTTAGATGGCAGGGGCAGAAGGTGGCTCCTCAGTCCCTGGAAGTATAATCCTACTTAACTTTTCACCCAGCAATGAGCACTGTGCAGAAAGAAGTGACGCTGAAGATCTGTTACTATAAAATATGGCACTGAAGGGAATTCTGGGGCAGTGAAATTCCCTCACAGTCACCACTGTGAGATACTTTGAGGTACAATTTAGCAAATCCTAAAACTTAAGATTCTTAGCAATGGAAATTTATAATGTCTGACTTTAAAAGATGATAGCCATGACGGAGTAGGCATATGTACCAGAGTGAGTTCATTGCAGGCTGGGAGCTGCAGTTAAGATTTCAAGTTGGTCATCATAGTTATTGTAGAAAGGAAACCACACAAGCCCATAACAATGTCAGAGTAACCCTGACACCAAAGTATTAGTGGTTTTACTAAGATCATCATATTTGCTGTATCTCGTGGTTTCTGGGTTCGCTCAGGGAAACAAACACACAAAAAAGAAAATGGAAAGAAACAAGGTTTAACAGAAGTCAAACAGCATTAATCCTGCATGGATTTCTATTCAGAAATGCACAAAAATGCCAAGTAGCAGAGTACCTCAGTGCCACGGTAATGTTTAGATTATTGTGCAGGAAGCTACATAATCATCCCACCTCTTTAAATAAGGTGTGTGGGAAATAATTATTTCAATTTTACAAATAGAAAATGAATGCATGTAATGGCTCTATGACATACCAAAGTAAGGTGATGACTCTGTGAGGCAGTAGGCATGAAAATTTGGTAAGGGTTTTGAAAGGTTTCCTTGACAGGGTGAAAGAATATTCAGTAAAGACATTCAAAACCATTTCCTGCTCATGGCAGGGGGGTTGGAACCAGAAGATCTTTAAGGTCCCTTCCAACCCTTACCATTCTATGATTCTGTGATTCCTCTCCAATCTACCTACCTTTTCTTTCCATGCCTCTTTTTGAATAATGCATGGTACGTGCACTTTTTCTCTACAAGGTGACTCAGCAGCTTCCTGAATATGGAGTATTATTCTATCATGTGTCCCAAGAGAAGAAAGGAGCAGGAGAGGACATCATTCTGGGAATCTGTGCCAAAGGCATCATTGTGTACAAGGTCAAAAATCACACAAGAATTGCCAGTTTAAGATTCCAGTGGCGTGAAACAGAAAGAATTTCGGCTCATGTGAGTTGGAACCAAGTGAATCTCTTCTCCATTCTACTACTTTACTGCTGCTCTGCCTGTCACTGATAAATTTATTGCATTCAGAGCCAGAATAAGACTCACTGTGCAGAGGCAAGTCCTTCTTGAAAACAGTATAAAATCAAGACTGTATCTGGATGTGGATACCAAGATATCCACTTCTTAGTGACATTTAGTTCTGGAGTTTTTTTGCCAAGGCTGGAATCATATTACTATAAAATTGAGTAATCTGGTATTGACTATTACAGAGACTACGTCAAACTTCTTTATGGCATATTGCACATTCATTCCTCTCTTGTCTTTACTTCTTTCTCTCTTTTGTTTGTTTTCCTACCCACATCAGGTCATGGGATCATGTCTCCCTCTTTCCAGATCTCATTATTGCCATCCTTGTCTCTTAGTGTATTGATGTGTGTTAACAAAATGGTATTGGTGATAAGATTGTGACCCCTTCTAAATGGTATTCTACCATCAGAGGTGTATCAATCTACCATCATACACTGTAGGTGTCAACCTGCATCACACATTTCCTAGCCTGTTTGCTCTCCCAAAATGGCCCTTCTGCCCCTTGAAGATATTTTCATTTTCACATTAAATTGGCTTAATCATTTTAACATCTGTATGGCCACATTTTGCTGGTTCTGTCATCCTGGTCTCAATTCAGTCAAAGCCCAAAGGCTCTTGACTTTTGACTTAGGGCAGTTATGATTCCAATGACTGACATCTCACTAACAACTGTTGAATTCACGATAGACATTTACTGCACCCAAAAGACATGCAGCCAGGCATAAATACAACTGGACAAACCAACAAGATTACACAAATGAAATTTCAGTGCATCTGTGTATTGACAGATATATGTAGCAAGCTGTGCTTTTTTTTTCTGTTTAGAGAAAAAAATTCATGATTGAAAGCAGCTTCAGTGGCAAGAAACACACTTTCATCACCGATACAGCAAAGACATGTAAATATCTGCTGGACCTCTGCTCTGCCCAGCACAAATTCAATGCACAGATGAATTCTAGACAACTTCAGCAAACTTCATCAGGTGAGGTATAAATGCAGTTTCATTATTCAGGCCATAGCACAAGGTTAGGTTTAGGAAAGGTGCATTCAGTGAAGCTGAGAATCAGAACCTGCCACATCAGTTTCACTATGCTTCAGTTTCTCATTTGCAGACTAGAAAATAATCATAGAATTATAGAATGGTAAGGGTTGGAAGGGACCTTAAAGATCATCTAGTTCCAACTCTCCTGCCATAAACAGGGACATCTTCCACTAGACCAGGTTGCTCAGAGCTTCATCCAACACTGCCAGGGAGGGGGCAGCCACAGCTTCGCTGGGCAACCTGTTCCAGTGTTTCACCACCCTCATGGTGAAGAATTTCTTCCTAATATCTAATCTAAATCTGCCCTCTTTTAGTTTACAGCCATTCACCCTTGTCCTATCACTACACACCCTTGTGAAAAGTCCCTCTCCATTCTTCCTGTAGGCCCCCTTCATGTACTGGAAGGCTGCTCTAAGGTCACCCTAGAGCATTCTCTTCCCCAGGCTAAACAGCCCCAAGTCTTTTAGCCTGTCCTCCTACTTAACTGGAAGTTAGAGTTGTTTAAGTCTAATTTAGCATGTGCATGTGAGTCGGCATGCACAGGGGGTGGAAAGAGGTTCTCTGATGATAAGAAGTATGTACCTAAATTCAGATTTCTGAAAAAAGTGTGATTACACTTCTCTTCAGGAAACCTGCTGAGAATTCTGAAGAAACATATCAGACTTAACCCAAATGTAACCTGAGAAATGTTCCACAAAAAGAACAGCTATAGCAGTGCCCAGATACGATGGAGCAGAATTTAGTTAACTGTTTATCTTTGCATAAGATAGGGTTCAACCCTATGGTTCAGTCCTGGGACAAAACCACTAAACCAAAAGCATATCAGTCATACTCACTCAACTATGTAACTGCTAGCTGCTCTTATCTTAGATTTTGCCATATCTGTGGAATATATGACTAATGCCTTCCTATACTTCAGATTTTCAATAGTTTCTGAGACAAAGTTCTGCTCAACCCAGGGCAGTTACGTAGCACTTCTCACCCACAGTTCTCAGCATGCTCAGTAAAGATGGGTGAGGATCATTAAGGGGAAAATGAGGCACATAAGAAATAATAGCCTAAACTGACAACTGTCATTACTCTTGACATCAGTCAAGCAACATGAGTTTTCACTAGCTTATCCATTGCCTTGAACAAAATCATGATTTTTTAAAACCACTGAGTATTTGACCCAGTGAGTCAGAGCAGTAGAATCAAGTGTCGTACCTTATCCACTGGGACACTCCTTTCTCTAGTAAAACCGTAAAAGTGTTGGCAACAAATTGTATCATGAGATATAACAGGATGATTGATATGTTGCTTCTTTCCCACTAAAATTATTTCATGAAAAGTGAAATTCCACCTGCACAAATTTGTTACCATGGAAAATGGAGCTAGGATGACATTAAGGTTCAAGGTACCTTTTGTTGCTTGAGCTCCTTTAAGCTTAAACATAACTAAAACATACAGAATCACAGAATCACAGAATCACAGAATAGTAGGGGTTGGAACGGACCTCTGTGGGTCATCTAGTCCAACCCCCCTGCCGAAGCAGGGTCACCTACAGTAGGCTGCACAGGACCTTGTCCAGGCG